TTGCATAAACATCAACATTACAGTTTAAGAGAAGCACCATACTGTTTTAGTTTTATAATACTGACATTCACAACACCTAGGGACTGCCTGTATGAGGAGTACAAACAGGCTGAGTACACTGCTATTAGACTGAGTATTTCCACTTAAGAGCACTCAGAAATAGCACTCATTACTTAAGATGCTTCTAGAATGGCAGAACATAATTGCGTTCCTGTTACAGGACTCACACCTATAACTTCGGCACAGAAAATAAGCACATACCTTCACCCAGAGCAAAGATTATGTTCAACAACAGGACCTGTACTTGCATGAAGGCAGTTAAGTCTGCTATCGTGTTGTGACCAGGGTTTTATTTGCTCAGTTTCCACGGGCTTCAGTGTTACATGGTCCAGTTAAAGCCCACATTCTCCTGGGAGCATTTAGGCTGTTAAAGCAGTTACAGGACCAACATAAGCCTGCATAATCAGCAGGGCTTAGCAAGCTACTATGCTTTGTATTTTGCCGAGTAACTAATCTGCCTCTAAAATACTGTGGCATCATTTTCATCTTAAAACTAACAATTCCACAGACCCAAAAGCTGACACCTGCCCTCAGTGCAGAGCAACTCAGCCCAGCAGAAAGGTGGAGGGAGGCTCATCTGGAAGCCAGTCTTTTACTTATGCTAAAAGTAGTAAGAGATGAAAGGCATGTTTTTGTCATCCCCAGCAACAAAGACAATTCAACTCTAGCTTATATTTAAACCTTGAACTCTCATGGCCTTCACAAAAGATAAAACCTTCATAAAGAAACATTTGTGTTGAGTCATGCAGTATCAGCTTTTCAGAATCAACACCCCATGTCTTGGAAAGTAATCACTAATAACTAGAGCAAAAAGCTAGGATTAGTTCTTCAGTTCCCTTTAAAAAGTTAAGATCCTTTATGAAAGTTGTCTAACAAGATGAGTCCTTAGACACACTTGACCAAAACACTTTAACACTTTCTTCCAGTCAGTTAATTTCAAAGTTAGCACAGAGCATTGTACAAAGAGTAACACTGTTTTCAGCTAAACTTTGACTCGCTAAAGTCACCCACTAATGCTCACAGGCTCTTGTAGGAAATTGGACTTGGGCAGAAGCTGCAGTCTGGATGAGAGTAAATTACACAGAAAAACCACATCTATTTGCTATATATTAATTTTTCCACTTTAGAGCTCAAAGTTCGCTTAAAAGGTAGCTACAGTATAATTTCTTCTCATAAAGCTGCAGAGGGATAACATGTTAGCATCCTTCCTAAAGATGAATGAGAGGATTTGTTCTGCCTATAGTATGAGGGCTTACAGGTAATGCCATCTTTTAACATCAACCTATGGTATCATCTAAGCCTGCAAGAAATCTGTAGAGGGACTTTTTACACAGGCCTCTAGTGACAAGACAAAGGGGAATGGCTTTAAACTGAAAGAGGGGAGATTCAGATTAGGTATTAGGAACAAATTCTTCCCTGTGAGGGTGTTGAGGTGCTGGCACAGGGTGCCCAGAGAAGCTGTGGCTGCCCCATCCCTGGCAGTGTTCAAGGCCAGGTTGGACACAGGGGCTTGGAGCAACATGCTCTAGTGGAAGGTGGCCCTGCCCATGGCAGGGGGTTGGATCTGGATGAGCTTTAAGGTCCCTTCCAACCCAAACCATGCCATTATTCTGTAAGTCTTAACCAGGCTTTCTTCATGTTTATTATAGCAAAATACTTTTTAGCCACTTTTATACTGCAGGAAAGAACTTGGTGAGATAAAATAAAATCATTTTGACAAGTTAAGACATTTTTAAAAGCACCTGCTTGGCTTCAGTTCCACCTCCCGTTGTGACAGACCTGGGCATCAAAGCATTCAGTTTTACAGAATAAATCCATCACTCTTGAAAGTGTCAGGTCAGGAAATTAGTGGAAACAAAGACCTCTTCCGTGAGGATCTCTAAATCAAAGACCTGTGATCAAAATTCTCACTTCTACAGATAATTTAAGGATCTTAATGTAATCCAGAATACACCTAATGGAACAGACTATATACATAGAAGATCAGGGTTAAAACCCCTAAGGAAAACAGAAGTGATAGTAGTTGCACAGAAGAGATTTGAGACACAAAGCTTAAGTGCTGTGCACGAAAAATTGAACTAAAGACACTCAGAGAATCCAGGAAGCGGGAACACCAGAAAAACAGAATAAATTCCTTGGGTAAACTAATCCAATTCCTTTGTACAATAACAAGACCCACATTCTTTATTAAACTCTTCTCACAAACCAGAGCAATTACTGAAGGTAACTAACACGCAGCAACAAAATTAGCTAACGCAAGTAAAAAAGTCCTTTTTAATCATTCCAGTTCTCGAAGATTACCTGTCTCTAGCAGCACACGTTGCCCATCTGCTCCTCTTTGTGCCGGTGACTGGCACAAACTCCCACCTGGTGATGAGAAGCATTTGCCGACATGCTGAGCTGCCAAATTCAGTGCTTCACACACAGAGCATCCAATCTCCCCTTTGGCGCAGCAACAACATCAAGCTGGTTTTATCATCACATACCAATGGCCACATTTGAATATTTGGCAATATGATGGACTAACTCATTGAAGGTTTGATAGGGAAGTGGTCAGTGTACATATATGCACTCTTATAAGAGTAAAAAAAGCAGAGCTTTGAGCTCACAGCTTTTCTACTGCACCACACACACAGTATTGACACTGCTGAAAATTCCAGGACAGTCAAGAAGCATCTTTTCCTAAAGAAGTTTCCAAAATCTTCTTTCTTTTCTTTTCAAGCAGTAGATTTATTGGTATTCTTGACTGCACAGAACCACCCCAGTTTTTCTGTGAGTATATGGAGAACAAGCTGAACACCACATACTCTTACAAAAGTAGAATTAGTCTCTCCTATGGTTTTACAGAAATAACCTCAGAATTTAGAAAACTAGAAATCCATTTCCCTGCTGCTTTTGCTGGACAACTGCTGCTCTAATACATAGTACTGTCATCCCCCCCTCCACTAAATAACAGTGCCCCACTCTAAAAACTGCTTAAATATATATTTTTTTATATATATATGTATATGTAGAGTAAGTCTGTCTACAGTCTTCTCTCTCTCCCTCTTTACTGTATCCTCCATGCATAAGCAAGTATCATCCTCATCATAGAATGGTTTGGGTCGGAAGGGACCTTACAGATCACTCAAGCCTTTCTGTACCTCAGCTCACAGAAGACATCGACATACCAAACCACTTCATAAGAGATGTCCAAAAATTACACTAGAATAGCTGCAGCCTTTTCACTTGCTAATTTAACAGCTTAAATCTTTGCATGACTTTGTGTAGCGACCATTCATAGCACAGAACAGTGCTTTAGACAAAAGTGGTTCAACTACTTAACATACTGTATTGCAAACATTAGGAAAATAACCTGGAGCATCAAGAAAAATTTTCAGCATTACAGTATCTTAATTAACTACAAAGTTTAACCTTCTCTCTGGATTTATTTGTATTTCAAAAGCTGATACAAACTCAAAACCATTACATACATACCAGTCACTCCTGTAGACTAGAATGCGAGTCTTCACTGGGAATTTAGCACTTTTCCAACAATATGCATCGTCATATGTTCAGCTAAAAGGATACTCTAATGCAATATTCAAGCCTGGGGTTTTTTTCGAAGCCTTTGGCAAATGTGGGAACTCCACTGCTTCCAAGTAGCTCAATTATTTTTATGTAAGTGACAGCAGGTAGCTATTTCAGTAGATTATTTTGTTACATGGAAATGCCACTACAGACTTTTGTGGCTTGGTTTAACCCAAATCATTAGTCCTGGAAAAGTCTAGTTCTACCAATAAGCTAATTTCATTAAAATACTCATCTGGTTTTAAGTATGCAAGAACTAGTCAAACCAAGTATCCATTTCAGCTACTGGGATTTCCAGCAAAAAGCTTTCCATCACCTTACCAGAGTTAACTATGAAAAACAAATCTAAACCACAGGAGCATTGGTCTATTTTTGACACTGGTATTTAAGTGTTTATTAAGCTGCTTTTCAGCCATTTATTCAGTTGGCTGACATCCATCTGCCACATGTAATATTTGAAAATGCACAGTTTGCAAACTGCTAAAATAAGGAATCCAGAGTGTTTGGCTGCATTTTTTCTATTAACACAATAGGCAAGAGCTTCCAGAAATTATCTTGCTGATATCTTTCCAACAGTGCCTGAAGCACGGATGGGAAAAGGTCCCCTGGCTAGTCTAAAATAGTTTAAGTCTGGAAAAAAGTCACTACTCTTTCGTATTTTCACAAGCAGAAAAGCAGCTCCCAGTTTCTCATCCATCTCTAGTAATGTTCAAGCGAAGTTTTACTTCCATTTTTAAATACATAAGTTTTATTTAGCCAATGTAACACAAACTGCATCACAGATAATGCACAGTTTATGACCAATATCAATACTAAAAGCTGAAGTCTTGCTAATGACAGTGCTAATACAAAATGGCAATTTTAACACTGCAGTTCAGAAAACATCTGTTCTTCTAAACCCAACTGATGTGTATCATTTATGTAAAGATTTATTAGATCCAGCCATCATGCTACAGTATTAGTCAAGTTAATAAACCTTCCCACTGTGTGAATACACCAGCATAAGGTACGAACACAATGAAACCTGTATGAAATTTTATACTAGTTTTCCAGAAACATGCTTGTGGCCCATCATATTCAGACTAAAGTATTGTAGATTTAAAATATTTACTTGTCTTCTTAGCATACCTAATGGGCAATATTAGTTTCTTGTTCAATTACCAAAAATAAATATAAGCTTTCAATTGAAAGCATTTATTTCCCTAGTTTTCCAAAGCAGAGCCTGGAGGGTGGGACGGGAAATGCTTCAAGACTTGCCATCCGTTGACTTCAATCCATAAAAGCATCTCCTGTCCCAGTATTCGTTCAAATCCAAGAGATATCTTCTTCCAGTGAAATATGACCGGAGCACTCACTGTATTTGTAGCAGTTCAGTCTGTTTCCATGGCAGCACTGCGGGATTCCTTTGCCACCATAAGTCGCATGAGCTGACTGTGGAATTTCTCAATCTTCTTTACATCTTGTGCCTGGTCTGTTCTATACAGCAAACACTGTAAGAGAAAGTTGCTTCACATCAGATTTCACTCAAAGTGGTTTTATCCTGTTTATAGTTGCAAGATACTTGAAACACACAAACCAAGTTCACACAAAACACAAATGTTCATTTGTGGCATGTTGTTACCATGCAGCAGCACCAACACCTATCTACCCTGGTTTAAAATACACACACATCTGTGTTGACACAAGTTTCTTTGAAAGGCTCACATCTTCCATTTTGAAAATAGGGAAGCTCATGATTTATCCTGGTTTCTTCTCTCCCAAAAGAGGTGCTTTAACTTAGGGTTAAAGCTGTCTTTAAAGACACTCCTGTTCGTGTTGTCTAAAATCAGAATCAGATTTTAAACCTGAAATTCCTTTCCTATTCACTGTATTCTGGAATTAAATTTATTTTGCTCTTCATAGTCCCTGGTGTTACACTGCCAGTGACACAAAAATCAGTATTTCCCACTGAAGGGGATCCCCTTCCCTAGGCAAAATCTGTCTCTAAGACAGTCCTAAATAAGGAACACTGCATCTGATTAAGATAAAAAGGAACTCTTTGATGTGACAAGTCTGTAAGTGCAAAAGGGACAAGAGCAGTATGTCACTGACTTATTATAAAACCTCTTAGGGGTTTTTTTTTTGCTAAGTAATTCCTTACACTTGTGCAGCCCGAGTATGACTGCTCAGGCTGATTTAACAGTGAAAAAAACAACCCAGGATGCTCCATTCTTCAGTGTTGTGAACACAGTGACTTCTGCCAGCATTACATTCCTATTTTAGAGACAAACAGTGTAACACAGTTTATTTTTTCCTTCAACTATACAAGTTCTACAGATTGAGCATCAAGGAAAACTTCTCTTTCTGCCTTTAGAAAAGAAAAAAAGGCAGCCCTCCCCCTCCCCAAAACCCCAAACAAAACCAATCCCCTGCCATCCCCCAGTGTAACAGCTTTCTCTGACTGGAAGCAGGTAGGAAAGCCTGTAACTGAAAAGAGTTCACAGTTGTGAACCACTCCACTCCAACTTCCCCTATGGAAGATTTCAACTAAACTGCCCCCATTCCCCCTGTTACCAGTGCCCCAAACTCAACATCTCGCCCACATCAAGCCCTATCACCCTATCAAGAAGTATCATTACTGGAGTTTCACATCTCTCTCAGCTACTGGAATACCAGTGCCAAACTACTTTTTCTCGAAAGAAGAAATCCAACTTTTTCCAAGTCTAAAGATCAGAGAAGGGCACTTACTCTGGACTACAGAAAACCAACCTGGCTACATCATCACTAGCACCAAGAACCTGGCACTGGCATGTACATCAGCACACATACACCAATGCCCACAACCCTAACCGCCACCACACTTCTAAGCACACTCCCAGTTAATTAGAACATGAGCAACCAGTAAGCACAGTTGCTTCAGCAGCCCTGGGAAGGACACTGCAGAATTCCATGTTACATGTATGTTCGGTTGTCAGTGAATGAGTACCTGATACCATGAGAGTATTTCAGAAAATGGGATCTCTGAACTGCAGTGGAATCTTGTCCTTCAGTCTCATCATCACTCCACTGTCTCATAATCACCAAAAAGGAACTTAACCTATGGCTGGAAGCTGTCACCACTCTGAGCAAATGAAAAGGGCCACATTCACACTCATAAACACCCGTGTTTGAAGACGCTCCTGAAATGCTTCAGCAGAAGCTACCAATGTCACTTTGTAAAGCATTTTCAAATAGAGAGAGCTTGTAAGACTTTTGTGGTACTTGTTTTCCTAAAATCCTGAATTGTGCTGACACTTGTGAAGGACACTGAAGTGTTACAACTTTCCTGGACTGTGCAGAGTTGAACCACAGGTCAATGTCAGTTACAGACACAGCAACTAGGGAAGGCTGAGCACAAGTGTTTAGAGAACAGTCAGGCACTCTCAAGGCAATGCCCAAAAGCTCTCAAGTTGACTGACAGCAAAATGCAAGTCTGTGAGAAGCACAGCAAGCCCCGAAAGGGGAAGATATTCTGTACTTACAGCTACATCATCCGTGACTTTGATACAGAGGTTCCCATCACAGTGGCGATATTTGAGAACAACCCGCACCTGAAATGACAAATACTGTAAGAATCAAGGTCCACAGCTAACAATTCTCAGAGCATACCTGAAGGAAATCTGCTCACATTCAGACTTCCTTTTCTTATAAATATGTAGCGCTTCACATTTTCACATCCTCTGTGGTGGCCCTCAGCCCTTGTGGCCACAAATCCCACAGCGAAGATGGTGTGGGAGTTGAACCATCACATTTCCCTGCTTAACATGTTGAACCAGTATTACAGCAGCTTCAGAAGCTTAACATTGGGCATGTTCAAAACCATGGTAAATACAGCAAGGAGAACTGCAGAGACCTTAGTGACAGGCAGAATGAACCACAGGAGTCATGGCAATACGAGACACTTCAGAAGAACTAACTGGAGGCTTGTGCTTATAATCTTGAAACACTTAAAAAAAAAAAAAAAGTCTAAATGAAGTCTAAATCTAAAATCAAGTCTAAATGAAGACTTGAAAGGGATTAACCAAGTGAGGTAAACTCAACATTACTACTTTTTCTTCTATGGTACCTAACCTAATGTGTAAACCAGTTGTATTTCCAGCCACTACAGTTATTTCAATAGCTGCAGCACTGCCTACAGACAGATGTGAAGTGTTCTGATGTTTCTGCAAGTGGAAAGGGAAGATACAAAGATGAACACTTTTAGAGTAACTAGAGGACTGAAGAACTTCTTTCAAATTAACTGCTTTCAAGATTCAGCTCCTTGCTAAAACAGTTCCTACTGTTCCCAAAGAACAAGAGAGGCTGCCACAAGCAGACATGGAGTTGATAGATAGCTTCCTCCAACAAAAGACAGGACCACTCACTACTAAGCCTCACCAGCCCACAGAGAACATGCACTATCTCCCATGATTCCTGTTCTTCCCTCAGTTTCTTGACAAGCCAAGTTACACACGAAAGCTCCTTGGGCTTGTTCTCTGTATTTGTGTTGTAACTCTGGAGCCTACGTAAACTCCTTCGAACAAGACAAGTTTATTGTCATGGATGGGGAGGGACTGCCTTTGGAGGCCCCTGCAGAAGAGGGAAAGAGGAACTCCTGGCTGCAGCAACATCCCCCTCTTTCATTTTGTTGACTTACAGAGTATAAGAAGGTAAAACACGACAATTTTGTTATCAGTAGATAGTGGCCACTGCATATGAAGTCATCACCAATTCTAATTAAAGGCAGATGATAGAATCTTAGAACACCAGGTTGGAAGGGACCTCAAGGATCATCTGGTCCAACCCTTCCAGGCAAAGCATGGCTAAACTAGATGTCCCAGCACCTTGTCCAGCTGAATCTAAGTGTCCAGTGTTGGGGAATCCACCACTTCCCTATGTTAAAAATTGCTTCTAAAGGTGTCTCCATGTCCTCTATTTTTGGTGAGGAAAACTAGGCCTTTTTTCCCCTGATGTTTTCTCAAGCATGTGAGTTCCACACTGCCTTTTGTGCTGCTCTCTGGCTAAACCATAACACTTTTTCTGAGTACTCAAGTTACTTTTAACAGTTGCACAAACTACATTCTTGAAAAGGTTACAAGAAACAAAAAGCAGTCATTCAGCAAGAATATTCTTAGAGCAACTACTCTTTAGGAAGCAAGCAACTTCCAGTCTGCAAAGGCACTCCAGGCACCACCACCTAAGAGCTAACGAGTGCTTTCTTTTAATCTTTTAGGAAGACGAATTCAAATGATGCAGACTTAGAAGCTCTGAACTCATAAACCCGACCCTCTCTCAACACACCTTTCATTCAGCAGAACTCGTAATCCCGGCTCTAACTCACAGATACACTGTAATGAGCACAGTATCTCTGAGTTTTCGTTCTTGAGGCCCACATCTCAAGAATAACACCACCTATTGCGCCGTTCCCTAAGTCCAGTCTGGGGGTCTTACACGAGTAGCACCCCCTCCCATGTGCTGCTTTCCGCCTGCCCGGTGCAGGCCTTACAACCACACCTGCAGGCCCCGCCGCAC